ATAGCCTTATTACTTTCAGGTGTAGATAATGATTCAATATTTGTATATATTGCAAAATGATCACCACAATAAGTCTAACATCTGTCACCATACATAGTTTTTGTGATGAGGAATTTTCACTCCTTCCACCCTCCCTGCCTCTGACAACTACCAGTATATTTTCTGTATCTTTGAGCTTCAGTGTCCCTCCCTCCCTCCCTTCTGTATTTCCTTCCCTCCCTACCCCCTTCTCCTTTGTTCCTTCCTTAAGATTCCACATATGTATAAGTGAGAACATATGGTATTTGTCTTTCTCTGTCTGACTTATTTCATTTACTATATTTCTTAGGTTATCCATGTTGTTGCAAATGGCAAAATTTCCTTCATTTTTATGCATGAGTAATATTCCATTACACATACACACCATATTTTGAATCCATTTATCAACCATTGTACACTTATATTGTTTCCTTACCTTGACTATTGTAAATAATGCCACAATGAACATGGGATGCATGTATCTTTTTGAATTAGTGTTTTCTCTTTTTTGATAAATACCCAAAATTGGAATTGCTGGATCATATGGTAGTTCTGTTTTTAACTTTTTAAGGAACCCTACTGTTTTCCATAGTGTCTGAATCAGTTTACATTCCCATTGACAGTACACAAGGGTTCCCTTTTCTCCATATCCTTGCCAGGACTTATGTCCTGGTTTTTTAGATGTTTTGAGCAGGTATGAGATGATATCTTACTGTAGTTTTGATTTGCATTTCCCTGATGATTAGTGATGTTGAAAGTCTTTTCATGTACCTATTGGCTACCTGTATGTCTTCTTCAGAAAAACATCTATTCACATCTCCTGCCTTTTTAAAACAAGATTGTTCTTTTTGCTATTGAGTTGTATGAATATATTTTGGATATTAGCCCTGGTACCATGATTTTTTTAAACATGATATATCTTAGAGCTTATGTCCTCATAACATCTATAATACTTCTTCATTTATTTAATGATTATATAATGGTCCTTGGTATGGTTATATTATAAATTATAATCTAAAATGTATGTTTAGATCGTTTCTAATCTTTTCTTGCTGGCAACAATGTTAAAATTAATTCCTACCTCGTCTATTACTTCACACATATCTAAGTATATCTATCTACAGGATGAATACTTAGAAATAGAAGTGTGCTACTACCACATTTGCCTCAACAGGAGTAGTGCTAATTTTCATCTCACCAGTGGTATATTTCCAGTCAAGCCCAATCCACCAGTGTAATGTGTCAGAATTTTTGTCTTTATGGATTGGACAGATACAAAATGTTATTTTGTGCTTTTGTAAATGATTAGGGTCTTGTCTTTTTTTCAACCTCTGAACTAGTTTTTTGGTTTGTATAGATAAATGCTGTTAATTTATTATATTAGTATGTACCCAAACAAATAATTGGTTCAATTATTTGATTATTAAAAATAACACATTAACTGATTTTCTTGGGTTTTCTCAGTATGTGATACGCAAATAATGATCATTTTAACTTCTTAACATATTTTATATCTTATTCCTTTCTCTATTTCACCCATGTTGGTTCTTTGGCAGAGTGTTAAAAACATCTTTGAATATTGCTGATCTCTAAAGTGTTATTTACTTGTTCCTATTTGGTAGGGGCTGGATGTTGAATTTTACTAAATACCTTCTGAGCATTTATAGAAATCTTCATGATTTCTCACTTTTGATTTATTAGTGGGATGAATTATATTTGTAGATTTTTTAAAAATATTAAGTACTGAATTTTTTTTAATACTGAAACTAAACACTCGGATTTTATATATTTTTTTGATTTTTGAATGTATTAAAATTTATTAATTATATAATATTTAACATTAGACTGTATATTTAAATATTTTATTTAGTGTTTTTATACTAGTATTCCTATGTGACACTAGTTTTTTGTTTTTTTTTTATGACTTTTTTGTGAGGTTTTGTTAATACTGTTATGCCAGATCCCTTGCTTTCATTTTTTACTAAATATTGGAAGAGTTTAAATCACATTGGAGTTATCTGGTCATTAAAAGTTGGATAAATTACCTTGGGAGTATGTTCCTACCTTGTGTTTTTCTGGGTAAACACTTTGTCAACATCCTGTATCTCTTTGAAAGTTGTCTTTTTTAAGTATTCTATTTTTGCTGTGGGCAAGTTTTGGTCATTTATATTTTCCTAGAAAATCATAGTGTTTTATATTTTTGTACAGCAGTGAACATAGTAGTTGCTTATGACAAACATTTTAATTTCCTTTTTACTTATGGCTATGTCTCTGTAGACATTTCTTAGCTTGTATGTTTTTGTTTCTTTGTTGACTAGATTAACTGATGATATCTTAATTTTGCCTAAGAAGGACCTCTTGAATCAATATTGTTAGTTCTATAATTTTTGCTCTTTAACTTGCACTGCTTTAGCTTTTTAATTATTATATTTGTAATTTTTAGAAAATCCCTTTGATTCAGTGGTTTATGAGGGTTTTCTACTTTTGTTATTAATATTTGGTTTAATTTCATGGTGACTAGCAAATGTCTGTTACTTTTGAAATCTATTAAGGTCATTCTAGTGGCTGATTTTATGCTCAGTTTTAATGACTTTTCCTTGAACTTATTGAAGGTATATTGGGTTTCAGAATAAATTCAACTAGATCTGTTTTATTAATTAATAAACCTAATTAAAAGTCTTCTGTATCCACACTTAATTTTGTTCACTTGATGTTTGTATGGACTGGGAGAAGTGAATAAAGTCTCATTATACTTATTCCTGTCAGTATTCTCTTTATTTGTTATGGTTTTTGCTTTATAACTACCTATGCCCTGTTTACCTTTTTAAAAAATAATTTTTGCTCCAATTGCAGTATTAATCCCTGCTTCATTTGGATTTCATTTTTGTGATATACCTTTGCCCATTCTTTTTCAATAAGTCTGTCATTGTAAGTGTATCTCTTATAATCAACATTTTTTTGTGTGTGATTCAATCTCTTTTTAACTGTTGAGTTTAACCAGTTTGTATTTATTTATTTTTTTATTGATTTTAAAGAGAGAGGAAGGGAAAGGGAGAGAGAGATAGAACATAGATTGGCTGCTTCCTGCATGCCCCCCACTGGGGATTGGGCCCACAACCTGGGTATGTACCCTGACTGGGAATTGAAACGGCAACATCTTGGTGCATTAGTCGACGCTCAGCCAGTAAGCCACACTGGCAAGGCAACCAGTTTGTATTTATTAAAAAGACAAATTTACTTGGTTTTGGTTCTCTTATCATTTAATAGGCTACCTGTTTTTATTGTTTCTTTTCTTGTATTTATTTTATTATATAATGTGATGTTTATGGGTTTATCCAGATAACTTAGAAGGTTTGAATTTTTGTTTAAAGGGCTGCATTCCATTTCCCACATTCAAAACTTCAGTTGATTATTTTGTTTTCCATTTTTTTTAGATAGAGTAGAAGGGAGGGAGGGAAGCAGAGAGAGAAACATTAATGTGTGAAAGAGAGAGAGAGACATTGGTTGGTTGCCTCCTGCACAACCCTGACCGGAGCCAGGGATCTAACCTGCAATACAGGTATGTGCCCTAGACTGTAATCGAACCTGTGACCCTTCTGTCTCAGGGCTGTGTGACACTCTGACCACTGAGCCAAATTGACCAGGGCTTCAGTTGATTGTTTTTGTTAGTGTTGACCTTTATATATCAAAATATGTGCATGCTTTATCACTTAGACTATCAGTCAGCAAAGGTGACAATCAGAATATGTGGACTAACGTCACATTCATCCTCCCCCACCCCAATTTGTTATTACTGCAAGTCTGATTTGTCAGGGCCAGTATTAGGTTCACCATAATCCCTTCTCTCTCTCTTCTTAGCCCTTTAGTTCACTGCATTTGCAGAGAAAAACCAGACACTTATTTTCTTCTACAAACTGCAAACACAGAATGTTCATCATCAGTCCACTGGATGGGGTTTACGACTTCTTTTTGTCGAAATTTGTTTTCTGAGTTTAAAAGAAGGTTCTTCAGTGATGAGTTCTTGCATTTTCTAAATGATTTGCCTTGAATGCTGATACTTAAATGATAGAAAAATTGATACAAATTCTTATCCTTCTTAATTTCCATGAGGACTGTAGGCGTTAGCCCCTGGTCTTCCAGCATGTTTCTCTGGAGAGTCTAAGGCTGGCCTTATTCCTGTCAGGACATCCAACAGACTCTTTGATGTCCAGTAGTTTACTGGTAGAGAGGGTTTTATTGGAAGGGAATGGAAAATGGTTTTCCACCAGTGTCTATAACATTTTATTTTCTTAAAAAAACAAATAACATCAAAATGTTAACATGAGTTTAGTATAATTGATGAATACAAGGGAATCTCCAGTATTCTCTGTCGTCCTGGGGTATGTTTAAAATATTACATTTTTTTTATGTTTAAAATAATGCCATGTAATTGTGAATTAGGAAGAACTTGTATGCTTTAGTGATCTAGTCCAAAGTATAATTTATTGAAAATCAATTTTTGCTTTATTAATCACAACATGCATTGTTGTGTTCTTTTTATGTTGAGAACCACTCATGTAATTTCTGTTTCCTTTGGTGTTATTTTCTAAGTTCTGAGTAAAAGTATTTATATTCTAAAGTTCTATGGCTAGGGATTATAAATTTTTAACTTTAGAATCTGCAGAGTGGAAGTTAGTGGTAATTGCTCCAGAGACTAAAAATAAATGGGATGTATGACTAAAAGCTGTTAAGTGATTTATATTTGCTGGTTTGGTACTATTTTGAACAGATATTTCTCTAACTATACAAAATAATATTAAGGTTTAAAATACCACGATAATTGAAAGAATTAAGTATTTAGGACTCCTTCTGTCCTTCCTTTCAGCAGGGCTCTCATAAGTCATAATAAAAGAGAAATAAATCACTTCTGTTTTCTTACTGTTACTCATTTTTATGTTTTATTATTAAAGGATTTTTAAGTTTGTTTTTTTCTCTGTGTTCAGGTACATGTCTCGAGTCCACGGTATGCATCCCAAAGAGACCACCCGTCAGCTGAGCTTAGCTGTGAAAGATGGTCTTATTGTTGAAACTCTCACTGTGGGCTGCAAAGGTTCAAAAGCTGGTATTGAACAAGAAGGATATTGGTTGCCAGGAGATGAAATTGTAAGTATGTTTAATTTGAAAAATTTTGGAGAAACTGACTTTTAATTTTTGAACATTATTTAAATGCAGCCATTAGAAACTCAATTTCAGAATTTTAATAATACTTCACTTTAACATTTTTCATTAACATTAAGGAGCTACGTTGGTGGGGTGGATACTTTTCTCAGTGTTTCTTTAGTAGGAGAAAACTCATTTTTCAAAAGAGCTTGCCCTTTCTGTGTAGATTACCTTGAATCTGAAAAATTCAAGCAAAACTCTTTTAATGTACACACAATTAATGGTATTTCTAAGTGTTGTCTTTAATAAACATTAGTTAAAAAAAAAATGTTTCAGTGCAGGATAATGTTGATGCCATCTTGACAGATTGGAAGGAACAGACTCTTCTCAGGGACATACCTTACTCAGGTTGGATGATGTCAGAGCCCAGAGCCCTGCTTCAGGAGGGTTTGCAGGTGACAAGGTTCTGAATGTTGGACGCCCCTGGCTAGTGTCTTTGTTGGTTTGAGTAATTATAGTGGGTTTTATGGTGCTTCACAGAAATTGTGGGAAAGATAGAAAGTTAATTTTCTTTAGATTTTTACCTAGGTCTTATTATTTTGACTTCTCTTTTAAGTTAAATCTTTTTTCCTTTTAGTATATCATTTTATGCTTGGGCACATAAGTACAACTTTTTCTTATGTAAAGATTGATTTTGTGTAAAATTTCCATCTTCCTACCTCCTTTGTTTTTGATATTTCTAACACCTTGATTTAAAAAGTCTAACTTTTTGCAACAGAATATCATGTAAGATAATAGGTTTCAAATTTAATAGTTGATTTTTTTTTTAGTTTCTGAGAGGGATGGATTTAGTTATTAGGTATTTTGAGAGTGTGTGTGTGTTTTTTCCTTTTTTAATGAATTCTCTAAAATCTAAAATTATAAAAAATGACACAAGATCTTCAAATTGGTTCTTTGTGGAAACATTTCCCAAAGCCTTTGTGTTTTCCTTTCTGGCTCTACATCAGACGAGCCAGCAGCATCATCTCAGTGGTCAGCTCTGCACAGTAAACTCATAGGTTTTTATTGTGGAGAGCTGGGCCACAGAGGCAGCTACAACAAGTTACAAACTCAGAGAATTTGTTCAGTTTTAACACTGTTTTTGTCAGTTTACTCTATGCCTTCAAAGTTTCAGGAAAGAAGATTCATATTTTCCACAAATAAAACATAGAAGAAAAAATGTTTAATTTCACTGGTATCTTTTGATTTGTACACTAGAAGTGTTCTTGTAAACTTAATTAAAAAAACTATTTATATCAGAATAATTTTTCTGTTGACTTCCATACAGAAAAGTACAGTTTTGTTGCCAATAAAGAAACTCTGGATGTCAAGCCATAATAGTAATATTTGTTTATATCAGGCATTAAAAGGAGAGCCATTGATAATTGATAGCTTATTATATACTCAGAATAATCCAGATAACATAAAATTCTAATCCCAAAACACTTGGAAAAATACAGATTTAGTATGGAAGGTTATTGTGATAATTTCTGAGATTTATATAATTATTAACCAGTAGTAAATACAACTTAATCACAGGATTTTGGTTTGTGATCATGTACATTCTTTCATAAAAGTGATTTTAATTCTCCTTACTGTTTAGATTTGTTATTTTCCACATGCATTCTTCAACTTCAATCTGAAGATGGCTTGTTCAGTTTAATTCAACGAGCAGTTAATGAGTTATGTTTACCAGTGCATTAGGCTCTATATTCTTTTTTATTTTAACACGTACTTACTGCATATATTTATAGCAGCATCCTTTTCTTTTTTTCTAGATGAAATCTTATATGTAAATCAAACAACCAGTGTACAGATTTTATTAATTCATGTTGGTTCTTATTCACATTTTTATACTGAGTATGCATGTATGATGTAAGTACACGTGAGTATATAAAAGTTGTTCCTAGTTTATAAAACATGCAAATACTAAAAATTCAGAGGCAATATAGTATAGCAGAAAGAGGTAAGGTCTTATATGTATAATAGTCACTGGATCTATATTTAGGGCATAACTATAAAATGATGAGATTAATTATATTTGTGTCTTATGACCGAGGCTGGTATACCACCTGGCTACCCAGGGGCTATCATGTGCTGCAGTTGTCATGCCCTAGTAATACTCTAGAAGGACACATAACTCTGTCGCACTTGGCACAGCACAATCATCTCACACTTGCCAGCTCTGTGTTTAGGGACTGTATGGTCCATGCACGTGGGCCACTGTGTATGGGGCCAGTTGTGAACTACACATCTTAAGAAGTACCACTCAGTTCTCAGACATAATATACTTGCATGTTTATTGAGCAGTTTTATAGCTTATGGCTGGAAAGTGTCTTATTCTAGCCAAATCAATCTTGGGGAAGGGTCACCTTTTCTGATTTGCACAAGGAATTCTGTGGGCTAATGACAGCCCGCATGCTGGCATTTGAGTCTGGGACCCTCTTTATAATTTCTCTACCTTGTATAAGATACATTGCCCCAAAAAACTTGACTTCTTAAATTGAAAGATGTACATTATTATTCATCTGGTTAACTTTCTAACTTATTATCAAAAGAAAAAAGTCAAGTAAATATCTAGATATATATAGGAAGAAACGGTATAGGATTTTTTTTTGTTAATCATTTTTAGACCTTTAATTCAAAGTTACAAATATTCTTCAGCCAGCGGAGTTTTTTCATTTGAAAAATGGGTAGTAAAGCACTTGTTTTCCTTCTGTAGCCTCTAAAAATAGCTGATAGTATCTCAGAGGAATGGAAAAAGTTGATTTTTCTTGATAAGTCCCACAAATTACATTCTCTGAGATACGTTGTATTAGCAAAGAGGCTGGACTCTCCTTGTCTTCTCTTTCAGTTATGGTGAGAAAGACAAGGTAGACAAGAGTGCAGTTTTCTTTATGCCACTCAACTAAGTATAGTTGAACAGTTTATTGTCACATTTTTATTCCACATCTGCTACCTTTTTTTCTCCACAGTGCTTATTTTTAAAACCTTGATTTGATTGAAAAATATGCATATCTTGAGCAAAATTATTTTTATTAAATCCAGAAATGATATAATAAAAGCCTAACTCTTATAATATGTCATGATACAATTACATATAATCTGTTCATGAGGAAGACACCTGTATAAGTCAAAGATGGTGGGCTTCATTGTACTGAGATTCCTTTTAGACTGGAATGATTTTTAGACAGTTTGAGATGCTAGTCTCAATGATCATTGGTAACCCTATTGAAGTGATACTTCTTTTGGAGAAACTGTGATAAAATTAGGCAGTGGATAAGCATCTTTATGGTGATATTTTGAATATGTTTGTTGGAGATACAATGAAAAATGTAATTATTAAAAATGAAGCCACTCTCAATTTGAATAGTTTGCTTATTAGTCAATAAACAAGCAAAAGTATAGGTACCAGCCAATTTTTAAAATGGCAAGCTTGCTGAACCTGGGAAACTCTTTTGTAAATTTTCTGTGGTCATTTAAACTTCTAGACTTGTATGTTATTAACATTCACTAATAGGATCCAAATAATTCTTTCAGAGATAGTTTTTATAGCTTTTGAAATTATATTGGTAACAGGCCAGTAGACCAGGGCACAGAATGAAACTTTCTGATGTCTGATCATTTAATGTTTTGTTATATTAGGTCTTATTCTTTTGATTTTTTAACGAAGAATTATACGTGTTCTGATAGATTGCTTCTTTATCTGCTTTCTCTAGAGAAATAAATATACATGAACAGCTTATCTAATCCACATTTAATCACAGCATTAGATGTCTTTTATTCTAACAACTTGAGAAATAGATTTCTTGGGCAGAATTTTACCATTTGCTGGGCTCAGTTAAGTTTTATATTTAGTAACTCCTTTTGTAATAAACACAAGTTAATTTCTTATGAGTTCTTAACTCATAAAGGGCTCACTAAAGATAGAAAGGTCTTATAAAAGTATTTAATGTTAAAGTTTCTCAGGTAACCGTAACTTATGGATCATTTGCAGATAAAACATGTCAAATATGTGTTTTGAATTTGAGGCAGTTAATATTTATATGATGACTTCAAACTGTATTCATGGTTTCTGGCACAAAGCTATTATTTGACAGATACTTTTAATCTAACATTAAATAATTTGGTCACCAGTGTAGAGGATGACTTAAAAGTGTCAAAAATGGCGTTTGCTATAAAACTACTTCTCTTTCCTGCCATATTCCGAATCAGGGTCTCAATTATATTTTCATACTTAATGCCAATTCAAAAATAATGCATCAGTGTAGGAACCATAGCTTGAAGTTTTAGTTAGAAGCCTCCTACCAGTTTTGCTGTTTGTGATTCAAGAGCAGCTGCAAACATGAGCTCATAATAGTCTTGGCTATTTTGCCCTGCTTCAGTTTGAGTACTTACTTTTCATATAATCAAGCTTGTCCCACCAATAAGCAGGACCTCATACTACTTTTAAAGTAGGCCTAAATGAAAAGGTATTAGAATTTATTCTGTGTTTTTGCTTTTTTCCCCATTAATTTAAGGTTTTGACACCTTCAAGAAGTATAATTAATGAAAATACATATTTTGTGGTTTCTTGAAGAGATTAACGTTATATTGAGAATACATTGATTTAGTCTTAACTTACTCAGGGGCAAGATAGACATTTCCTCTGTCATCATCTGCTTGTCCTGATTCAGAATGACCAATCTAAAAGAAACTGTAGCTCATGTACCTCTCGAAACTTAGCTAAGCTCACATCTTTTAGATAAAAGGTAGGATTGGATTTATGTCTTATTCTTCAGAAATCACACCATGGCAAGGAGTGCCCCTTGCTTTGTTCTTGAAAAAATATAAGAGGCCTGCTGAATTCAAAACAGCTTCACTCTTCCAATCCACTTCATAAATATAGCACAGTGAAGTAAGACCTTTTTAAAGATTAGATCTTTGCATTTTCCTTGTTATACAGTTGTCATAAATTAATCAATCATGTTTTCAATACTTGAAGTAAAAAACTGGATGCCCCTTGGATACCTTTGATTTTTGTTTGTTTTCTTGTTGTTCCTCACCCAAAGATATTTTTTTCATTGATTTTTAAAGAGAGTGGAAGGGAGAGAGGGTGAAGGGAAAAGAGAGACAGAGACAGAGACATCTATGTGAGAGAGACACATAGGTTGGTTGCCTCCTGCGTGCTCCCCAACCTGGCCAGGGAATGAACCCTGCAACCCAGGTATGTCCCTTAACCCTTTGACCGGGAATCAAACCCCTGACTCTTTAGGTGCTCAGGCCATTGCCCTAACTACTGAGTGCATCGGTGACTTTTTTTTTTTAAGTGGAATATATTTTGCTATATTTATGTTAATTATGTGCAGAACTACACATTTCTTTCAAGGGTTCATTACCTGTCTTAGGTACAAAGTATAAATAATTGTTTATTTACTTAGTAAAATATTAAGTATTTGGTGATTATTAATTAGAAGCCAGTTATACTGTGGTTCTATGTATATTAAAAGTTTAATATACCTATACTTAGAAATTACTGTTACTTCAGGTAAAGAATGTCTACTTTATTCAGTAGAATATTTTGGGTCATGCTATTCTGATTTACTCTTTTCAGCTTATTGATTGTGTGTGTGTGTGTGTGTGTGTGTGTGTGTGTGTGTGTGTACGAAAGAGAGAGAGCTTTTTTTTTTCTCCTGTCTAAATTCTATTTCACCAAATAATGTTGTAAATTTTTTTATTTGAAAATTAATATTTAAAATTACGGTAAATATTTAACCATTAAATTCTTACCTTTCAATGATTAATTGAATTGAACTAAACCTTGAATTGTGGAGGTAATTTTACATCATATTTATGTTAAAATATCACATCAAACACATATTTGATCATGTAAGACTAATCTGCTCGTTGCATGTAAATAGGGAGTCACTTTAAAAGTTAGACTCTCTTGAATATGATGAGGGTGGATTATAATTTAGGAGGCTCTTATTATAGACACAGTTCTCCCAGGAACGCCCTTGCTTTAGTATTATCTCTAAATTGACTTAACATCTAAATTGACTTAAACAATATTTCTTGCTCCATCTAGCTTACAGAAATGTCGTAAAATCTTGAAATTCACACATGTATAATTACAAGTGTAACATCCTTTTGTGGCGGTCCATTCCTGTTTTGTGCGCTATGTCAAACTGATCATCTAAATAACACCAGCTAAAACTTACTGAGCATAGTAACTTACAAAAACCTATATACTAGGCATTATTATTTTGCTCATTTTACAAATAAAACATAATACACAGAGAAGCTAAGTATTCTGCCTAGATGACATAGCCTGTGAGTGCCAGAGCCAGGATTTGAGCCATTCTGGCTCCAGAGCCTTAACCAGATGCTGTAAGTGGTGACAGAGACATAAGGCAGCAAGCTGCTTCTAGGTGGTGGCATGTTTTCTAGTAGGTTCTGAAGACAGCCTGTGTCTATTTCACATCATAGTGAAGTATGGAGTTTACCATATTCACATTCATTACTCCCAACTTAAAAATAAAATCAAGCTTGTACCAGGTTCATGTCAAAAAGACATACCTACATTCATGGTCTTAATGAAATTTATAATGGCACCGAGTTTATTTGTTAGTGAAATGTTTTTCTAATGCCATGATAGGTTTTAGGCACACAACTTTCTAAAGAGAGATTTTCTCTGTCCATTTGTAGCTTTTGTGTTAATAATCAAGTTTCCTCTTAAACTAGTCATGATTCTTGAGTTTGCATGCTACTGTATTTTTATTCATGATTAGTGCATTCATAGATTATCAGTTGATGTCACCTGCAAAGTAATGTAAGTCGTATAGCAAATAATAAATAGTTTGACCCTCTGTGAAATCCCTTTAGCTCTGTATATTGCCTGATATTGAGCAAAGTTATAGTAGAGAGACCAAGATTATTTTGTTTTTATTTTGAAAGGCCTACAGTATGCAGCCTTTCTCCAGGACAGCAACCCCAAACAAGGTGAACTAATTTTGCACTATGTTATTTTACTTTAAATCTGCTTTTTGAAAAATCTACATTTCTATCTTTCTTTAGGCTAGCTTAGTTAACTCTTGTTAGAATTGTTCATTAAAACCATATTGTCTTTACATTGCTTCTAGTTGGGGATTTTTTTCTAATAGATTTGCTTTTTACATACATTATTGAAGTATTGAAGTTGCTATCAGTAGTTGCTGACATCTGGTGAAATCCAGGGGAAAATGCAGGCTTGGCTTTTGGGCTTACAGTCGTCCCTCGCCACTTGGCGCTTCGACTTTTGCGGCTTCACTCTATCGCGGTTTTTTCAAATATATTCATTAAAAAATTGATCGAGACAGTGAAAATGATATAGTGTGCACTTGGTTGCCTGAGTCAATAATACACCCCTGTATTACAATTAAAATGAAAACTACTGTACATATGGACTGTAGGCCTCTGTATTCGAACACCCCAGGAATCCTTCAACGCCAGGTGCAACCGCCAGAGTCTGGAACTGATTAACCGTGATAAACGAGGGACTACTGTACATTATTGAGTATTAGTCAAAGCACTATGTAAATTTATTCTGTTTACTAAAACAGAAATTGTCGGCAACTCTGCCTATCATAAACATACTTATATCATTTATACCTCAGAAAAGTGTGCTGTGGGTTCAGAATTTAGTAACTTTTGAACTTGACTTTTGCATGTTTTGTATATTCTGAACAGCTGTTACTGTGATTAAAAGAATGAACAGCATGCACTTACTTCCCAGCCCATATTTCCTTACATCAGATAACTGAATTAGTTATATGCCATTATGTAAATAATACATCCAAATGTTTCTCTACTTTTACTTCATTTTAATTATATTTCCATTTCTGTAATTGTTATGAAAACTAGGTTTGCTATTAAATACCCCAATGAGGAAAGATCCATTTTCATCTTGTTTTATGGGTGGATGGGAGAGAATAGAGATAGAAAACAGGAGGCTGTATTGTGCAAGGCTGGAGCTATGCACCAACATTATACTCTTGCTTCCTTCTCTTAGTTTATCTAGTAACTATCATTTTAAGAATGACAGGAAGATGAATTAATGTAAAAAAATTTCAAATGATGAAGGCAGTTTCTTTTGTTAATAATGAGTCAAATATAAGCCCCCAAAATCCTTCAAGATGTTTTTGAACAACTGAAAAAATATTCTGAAATATTTTGTTTTAAACTTGGAAAGAGTTCTGTTAATTCAGAATAGGACAAAAGTATCTTATGCCCATTGAAACCTAATTTATCAGATTTTTTAATATAAAATTAAAGTAGCTAAAACGCAGCTTACATATGAACTTTGTAAAATGGGTACACAGTGGCTGTTGTTTAGTACAGGCAAGCACCACACACACAGACTGTGTCTATGTAGTCAGACTTGGTGAGGTCGGTTTTTTCTACCATGCATGCATTGGGTTTTATGTTTCATCAGTATCTTATGATTTTTTTAGCAGTCTGACTGAAATTACTCCATTGTATGTTTACAGAGTATATACATTTGCAGCAAATAATTAGAAGTGCTTATGTTTTTCTTTATTTGGTCAATAAAGGCCATGATTTCTGAACAAAATGCATACTAAAAAGTTTACATTTTTGCTGAATTTATTAATGTGCTCTCGCCATGACACTGAATGTGAATTTTGGAACATTAGTGACTCGCTTCCCTTTTGAAGGTTTGGATAGTAGTGTTCAGGCAGTAATTAATACATTTAATCTCAGGCACCAAAGGTAGTTAATGCCTGCTAAACAAGTGATATCTATATTTGAAGCCCATTTATTGGGAGACTAATTGACATACGAGAAAACTGCTCAACTTCAGAAACAGTGTAGACAGTAATTTATAAAAAAAAGAAAAACAATGGCAGAGCACCAAGTTTGGAATTTCAGGACTGTCATTGCGAGTGGCCTTGAGTATACTGAATGTGGGTTAAACCATTTTTCACTTAGTTACCACATCTACAAAAGAAAGCCGAAAATGAATCCATCACTCTTAACAGGTATTTTTTGACAGAAACTAAGAGTGGTATTTATGAAGAATGTATTCCAAATTAAGAGAACTTATAACATCTACCTGTTTATGTTTAAATGGTATTGGCTGTACAAAAAAAAAGAGTGGAACAACAACAACAAAAAATGTTGAAGAAACCTGTATACCTGCAGTTATGTTCTTTTATTTCCAGGAATAGTCCCAATAAGAAAATGAGCCTACTTCCTTTTTAGTTTTTTTATGGCAATGTCCTTTGGAGAATGTGATTAAACCTTTAGTTTCACATTTTCAATTTATTTTTCCAAATTCAACAGACCCTGAAAATTTGACAACCTATCAGAACATGGACATTCTGATTAATGGTTATTTTCAATAAAGCATCCAATACCATGGATGAGAAGATAAGAATAGTGAGCATCACCATTTATTACTATTTTCTCTGTTCCCACAGTGTGCTAATTAAGTACTTACTATATTTTTTAAAAAAACAGAACAAAACAGAGGTTTGTTTATTTGAAATACTAAGGTATAGATGTTTGGTTGGAGTATTAAGTTCACTGAAGAAGTTATTCCATAGATAATACTTTAAAAATTGAAGATAATGTTAGAACTGGGATTGGCTTTGGACTTACTTTATTTTGGACTGGTTTTACTATCAAATCACAAGATATTTTGAATATTAATACTGTTTAGGAAAGAATTTAAAATTTAAAGACGCAAATTTGTAGATAATTTTTCCCTCTTGTTTTAAAATGTCTAAAATTGTTTATAATGCCTAACTTCTGATGGACTGTAGTTTCAATTTTGTTCTTAGTTATTGCAGATATTGACAAAATGTCATACGAAATTATTTTGTATTTTTTGTAGGACTGGGAAACAGAAAATCATGACTGGTATTGTTTTGAATGCCATTTGCCTGGAGAGGTGTTGATATGTGACCTGTGTTTTCGTGTGTATCATTCCAAGTGTTTGTCTGATGAGTACAGGCTTAGAGACAGCAGTAGTCACTGGCAGTGCCCAGTTTGCAGGGTGAGTACCTAAATGAGCTTTAATGTGCTGGTCAGAGGGTTGGAGTTCATTGACAATAGCTGCACAAAGATACCCCAGATGGTTGTGCCAGGTTGATGGAAAAAGTACTGGAGGGTGGGGGTTATCTGCTGAAATGATGATAAATGAACATAGAGCACTCATAAATGGATATCACAGAACACATGACATGTTTGTGGTATGGATTTAGAAAGTCGTAATCACATAAAAATATACTCTCTTCCCTTACTTTACACTTGCCTCTGGATTGTGTGACTCCTTCAATGAATAGCCTTTGGGAATCAAGAAACACTCTTCCATACCAAGGTCTGTTCAGTGTGTTCTCTCCACTACTCAGAAAACACAGCAAAAGGCACATTGTTGGAGATGTTCTGTATCTACTTCTCATTTATATTCATGTAATGTTGCCTTTATTTTTTGTCATATCATGGGTTAGGTTCTTTCTTATATTTTATTTGGAGGGTGCAGGGATGGGACAGTTGTAACACAAGCGTTCTAATTTAAAGCAAAATGAAATAGGTTGGTAGGTAAAATAGGTACTTTCCACAATTATTTTCATTCATATTATTTCCCCATTGAAAAGTATACATGGCTGTGCTTGTTGGTTGCAGAATGTGGTATGTGTGTGTATACAAATGATGCGTGATAACCTAAATACTACATTACATGTGGCAGTGATGGTGATGAGCAGGGAATTATTTTATTGTAATCTCTGTTATTTTGTGCTTAAAAATATTGAGATATTTATTTGGAACCATGCAGATTGCCCAGATCACTAATGAGTTCAATTTGTGAATATATTTGTAATGCTGGAGTAATTTAAACATTCATTTATTCTTCCGAAAAATGTTTTTGTCTTCATAACTTTTCTTTTTGTTTTTAGTCAAACATTTTCTGCCAGTATGATGAGTAAAACATAGTGTATGTTATAGTCTTTTCTTTGTACCTGTGGGGTTTTGTATTAAGTGAACTGAGTCCTACCAGCATACTATACATACTACACAGGCAGACAAAAGACCGTTGGGACAGCATTAAAAAATAGCATGTAATGATGACTTATAATAAAATGCCAAAATGCTTGATAAGTAGTGATAAATCCCTAGATTTAAATATATCAGTATCAAGCCTCAAGTTGTAGACCATCTTCTCTTCAAGGTCTGCAAGAAATTGTGTGTCTACAAAAGTTGTTATAATTCGTGGTGTGGGAATAGCATTTAATATTCATATTTTATTCTGTTTTATGCATTTTTAAAAATATATTTCCTGTTTTCTGGTAACAATTTACATTAAAGTAAGTCAAGAACAATGAGATCTTAACAGAAAACATTGCGATAGTAAAAATATAAAAGAGATGGGGTCAGTGATCAAATAATATCAACTCAGGAACTTAGGAAATACAATTCTGAACATACCTGTCTTTCCATCCATAGCTTTTTAATATTTACTGTTTAGTTCTTATTTGCATATTAAAGAATTTAAACAGTAACACTAGGATTTTAAAGGATGGGTTAAACTTTATTGTGGGTGTTTTATATTCCTTACGTGAAGAATGAAAATTAAATAGTTATACCTCTGAAACTACTACTTCCATTAGAATTCATCATCAAGTTGTCAGATTTCGTTTTCTATATGTGTTTGCTCTACTCTTGACTGATTAGATTTTTTTTTCTTTTTTTTAAATTTCAGAGAGTTTTACTGGCTCACACAGAAGCATGATAGCCAAAATGGAACTTAGCTTACCTATCCTATTTTTCTTTTCTTCCTTCTGGTTTTCTTTGTGTCTTTGTCAGTCTTGCATGTGATATAATTACTCTTACTGAAATGATGCTGTGAGTCAATAAAAAACTGTTACTCACACATTTGTTTCATAAACTGTGAGCAACTCTTTGAATAGGCTTAAAAGGCTCCTGTCTGGTTTGGGGATGTTGAGTTTTATCTTCAGCTTTAAACCTCCCAAAGAAGTAGTTTCTTTTCTGTTAGAACTATTCTACTGTTTTGTTACTTTTAAGAAAAAGATTAGTGTTAATTTCTTTTCTGGGAGAAGAGGTAATAACCTTGAAATTTGAATGGAATTTTAAATATCTTTAAGGTAAAAGTTTTTGCTTGATTTTTTTTTTTTTTTTAAACAAAGTGTCAAATTTTCAAGTAAAGTCATTTTTGTAATCTAACATGAGAGTAACTGACCAGATTTAAATATTCGTATACTAAGAGAACTGAGAGACTGAAACGTAAGAACTGTGGTTCCAAACCAGAATAACAATCTTTGCTATTTTTTTTTTAAATTAATGTTTGGAAATATAGATTAATTAGATATGCTAGTGAGGAATTTTGAAGATGCCCAGAACCAAACTTCAGTGAAGATTTAGCAAATAGTAGATGGAACCCAGTCATGACTACCTAAAGTTCAAGTTTAAAACATTTCTAATATCTTACAGTGATTAGAAAACTATTTTATTTTTACACCATTTCTACCCCTAAAGCACAGAAAAAGTCACTGAGCATGTCAGTTCTAATTAAAAATAAATTTAATAAAGAATAAGGCTACATGTGAGGATTCATTTAAAAAAAAATCACTGAGAATAGTTTCTCTCTCACCCAGGTATCAACTTCTGTTGCCAGATTTACTTCAGCTTAAGCAGCTTTATCTCAAGTATCGGACTATTTCTGAAATATTTTAACAGGACAATGATAGGAATTTTTCTCAATTTAAAATAAATTTATCAATTTTTATAATTTCAAGAATCTCACAACACTCAGGATATTTCTTTGGAATGTTTGCCTTTCTGAAAAAAAAAACTATTACTTTATAGCTGTAATAGATATTGAAAAATAGCCTATGAATATCAGATTAGCATTTTGCTTTGAAGGAAATTTGAGTCATGTTCTGTTTTATAGTCTTGTTATTGAAAACTCTCATTAGTTAAAAGGGGTGGGAATTTAAAAAATTATTTTGACTTGGCTGTAGAAATTAAAATAATTTAAAGAGGATAAAGAAAAAAGTTAAATTTCTGAAAATGCTGTCACATCGTAGGAAATGTTCTTACAGAGGTCAGTGCTGCCTCTCCATCCACATTCACCCATTTGTATCTGTATCTGTGTAACTTTATGTACGTCCCTGGTTGAGTCAGTTTGTTTCTATTCAGCAATATCCCTATCTTTTTTATAAGTATGATAATGTGCATAATTTATTTAACCAATTCCCCTCTGATGCTTATTACATTGTTTCCATCAGCCTATCTGATCAGTAACATTGCACTCAAATTTACCTGTTCAAGGGGACATTCATATTGCTGTGTCCAGAGTCATACCATGCTTTCCACTCTGAAGAGCAGTCTTCTCATTATATTTGGATGTATTTGAATTTTATATTCCTGAAATAGCCATGAATTTTCCAGGAAAAAAATTGTTTTTATCCTTAACTTTTCATTTTATTTTATTTTTCTTTAATTTTTTTCTTGATTGATTTTAGAGAGAGAGGAAAGGAGAGAGAGAGAGAGAGAGAGAGAGAGAGAGAGAGAGAGAAACATCAATGAGCGAGAACATCGATTGGCTGACTCCTGCATGTCCCCCACTGGGGATTTGGCCCACAACCTGGGCATGTGCCCTGACTGGGAATCGAACCAGCGACCTCTTGGTGGATGGGTTGACGCTCAACCACTGATCCATACCGGCCAGGCTAACCTTAACTTTTAAGTGAAAATTACTTTTGACTAAATAATATATCTTTAAAACACAGTATGGTCAATAAATTTACTTATATCTGTGTAATTCTGTTTCATCACCTTCAGAGGATAAATTTATTCAAGTGGAATTCTTTTTTTTTTGTAGAGCACTACATGTATTAAATTATTCAAAATATCGATGACCTAACTTTATATTTTTGTTCTTACCAATGTATTTTTGTTTTGTTTTTGTAGATGTTCTTTAAAATTTTTTTTCATTAATTTTTGTTACAGATGTTTCTCTTTTTTAAATTTAAAGGATAGGCACATACAAACTTGTGATAAAAGTCACTAAATTGTCCTGCAGAAGATTACACCCATTTATGCCAACATGAAAGTATTTTCCAAATTTTTGTTACTGATTTGATAAGAGTACAAATTACTGTCTTATTTTAATGTTTCATTTTCATATATTTTCCAAATTACAGAGTCATTTGTAATTTGATGCTGTGGTTGTAGAAGGCAGGCCTGGGTATGTGCACAATCGTGTGTGTGTATGTGTGTGTGTGTGTGTGTGTGGTGTGAGCACACATGTTCATGTTTGTGTGACGTGTGTGTGTGTGTACACCTGCATGAGTGCATGTCTGTAAGCATAGGGGTGTGTATGCATGGATGTCTGTTGTGTATGCAAATGTACATGTGTTCATGGATGTACATGTATTCATATGGGGGTGTGGTGTGTGTGCATGTACTACACACTTGGTAGCCTCCAGTCCTGCTGGGGAGCATTACGATACTGTTTGAGTGATGACTACTTGAAATGTTTTAATATATGGGCAGGATAATGTATTAGAAGAAATCCTAGGACCACCCCTGAGGTTGGCTCACCATGTTGCCTTTTAGAGCAGCACTTTCTGGGAGACTTTTCTATGGGGATAGAAATGCTCTCTCTTTGTTGTCCAGTAGGAATTAACTACTAACTATGTTTATCTGTTGAGCACTTGAATGTGGCTAGTGAGATCCAGGAACTGGAATTCAATTTGGCACATGTTGTTATGGCTACCTACTGTATCATACAGTGCAGTTTTAGAACTGTGTGTTCTAAATGCCTGTACTACTCCCGGAGAAGCATCTTTGGTACAAAATATCTGCCTCGTGACTGGCTTGGCATTTGTTCTCCCTATCAAGTTATAGTCAGGACTTAGAAAAACTCTAAAGGAGGAATGTAGGTCATCTTGCTCCCACTGCCCCTTCTTTCCCTCAAGTGCACAGCAAACACTGTGTGGTGCCTGTAAAATGCAGGGCAGTGCACTGATTGAT